GTGAAAAGGAGAGAAGAAAGAAATAAAGAGAGAGAAGGGAAAGAAGGAAAAAAGAACACAGTGAGAGGAAAAAAATGGGAGAGATTGGAACAAATACATAGAGAAAGAAAGAACTAGCAATTATATAACGAATTTCACACCCTGTGGTTGTCACAAAACTCAAAACCCTGATTAACGGTTTGGTAAATTCAGGTCAGCGAACAGTACAGGAAGCTCCCCGGTTTCACCATGAGTTTTCATTGGTTCATTTGAACATGGCGAACATCAGGACTGACCAGTGACCTGGGATAGGGATGGGCGAAACAGCTACAAAACTCCGCGATCCCAGATGGTCAACAAGGGCAGGATGGAGCTTAGCTACAATCTAACACCCCTCCCACAGCCGAGCAGCCTGTCAATCTCCATTAACCGAGTGCCACAACACAAAGAAGGGTGAACAAACTGCCCTGGCCAGGCTTCAGAGAGAGGGAAAAGGCAAGAGGACCCGATGGTCTGTGTAAGGCAGTCAACACTGACTGATGCACAGAACAGCAATTCTAGAGAATTCCTTCCTCACTACCACACAAGGAAGATTCTTTGAAAGAGAAAACCTTCCTGCATTTGCTGCCAATATTCATTTTGTTGAAGGTGCCTGCAGTTTAGTTTCCCAGTATTGTGGCTTCCTTTTAGTCATTATATTTTTAACTTGAGTGTCCTTGGGCAAAGTAGAAAAACACACAATAAAACATCTGTGCTGAAGATTACATATCTGTACATTCCCACAGCCAAGACGGTAAAGGGAAAAAAAAACACAAGACTTGTCTTTCCACTTGTGCAATTCCCCGAATCTCAAATCTCGCTCCAGGGCTTGAGCTGAAAGATCAAGGGCAGTACCGAGGAGCAGCTGCAGTCTCAGAGGTGCTGTCCTTCAAATGAGACGTCTACTCTCTCAGGTGGAGGCAAAACATCTCCTGATGCTACTCTGAAGAGGAACAGGCGACATGTAGAGAAGGGAAAAATCCATGCTGGAAGACGAGGTTGGGCAATGAGGCCTGGCCAGAGACACCAGCATTCTGAGAAAAAGCAATTAGAGTTGTAGAATCCCTGCAGTGTGGGACCAGGCCATTCGACCCATTGAATCCACACTGACGCTCCAAACAACATCTTACCCAGACCCACCTCCCTACCCTATCCTTGTAACCTTGCATTTCTCATGGCTAATTCACTTACACATCCCTGGACACTATGGGGCAACTTAGCATGGCCAATCCATCTAACCTGCACATCTTTGGACTGTGGGAGGAAACCTGCACAGACACGGGGAGACTGTGCAAACTCCACACAGACATTCGCCCGAGGGTAGAATTGAACCTGGGTCCCTAGCGCTGTGAGGCAGCAGTGCTAACCACTGAGCCACCTTGCCGCCCAATTGGGAAGAGGAAAATGGGAACCTCTTGAATGTGTTGGCGGCTTGTCAAGGAGTTGCCTATCAACCTTACCTCTGAAGACAACAGCCCGTTTGAGGAAAAATAAAAACAAATGAAATAAAAACAATTCCTGTGGCCCCAATCAACGAAATCTATAAACAGAGAATTAAAGTGCACGCTCAGTAGCGAGCTGACTAGGAGCAGCTACAAGGTTGTCTGCTAATCTTTTAAGGAGCTTTAAGACACTGTCGGAGACGATGGTATGAACAGATTCAATAAGAGGCAATTGAATGTGAACGTATAAAAGGGGAAAAAATGCAAGTTCAGAGGGAAAGAATGGAGCTGACTGTATAGTTCCACCAAAGAACAAGTATTCGCTCAGTGGGCTGAATGGTCTCCCTAAGTAGAGTGCTGTTCTATAATTATTCACCTCTGCATTTGGGATCACATGAACACAACAATATCTTCTTGTATTTGTACAGTTAATTCCTATTGCCCCCACTCACTCTGCAGGAATTGAATCTGATTAAAGATAACTGACAGCAAACCAAGAGGTATTAGGGATAGGTGACAAAAACTTTACCACAAGCAGGTTTCAGGCAGCTTAAAGGAGCAAAAAGAGGCCGAGAAATGTCATAACAGAATTTCACAGCTGAGTGTCCAAGCAGCAGAAGACAGAGTCCCCAGTGGTTGAGAAAAGATTGGAATTGGAAACAGGCCAGGGGCCAGAATTGGAGGGCTGCAGAGTTCTCAATGGGTTGGAAGAATTTACAAAAAAAGAATCGAGAGACACAAGGGGATGGGGATTATCCGAACAGCATTGATATATACACTGGCACATCCCAAGGCATTTCTACGGGAAGAGAGAGAGATGGACACCAAGCAAGGAGGAAGTAAAGAGGGCGATTTTAAAAGATACGATGGGAATGAGTTATGATGCACAGTGGCTGAGGGATCTTCTATTTGTTAAGATTGGGATTTTATTTTGCAACGCATTTTCAAATTTAGTTCCATGGTAAAAATGTCACCCAAGACATCCGACAGCACCCGACTAGAATATTTAACTAAACTGACAAAAACTTTTTAAATAATATGATGAGTTTGAGAAGGTGATGTTTTTGCAATCACATCAGCAGAAGCCCATACCTGTAAAAGTTGATTACATGTGCATAGACACACACACACACACTATATATATATTTTATATATAGCCCTACTAATATTTGCCCTGGTGATGGGTGTAATGTGGTAATGTTACTGGACTAGAAATCCAGAGGCCTAAGCTAATGCTGTGGTGACATGAGTTCAAATCCCATAATGACAACTGACTGCATTAAATTCAGTTAATAAATGTGAAATGTAGTGTTAGTCTCAGTCGTTGTGACTGTAACAACTGACATCAATTATTGTTATAAACACATCTGGTTCATTAATGTCCTTCAGGGAAGGAAATCTGCCATCCTTACCTGGTCTGGCCTAATGTGACTCCAGACCCACAGTGATGTGGTCGACTTTTATGTGACCTCTGACTCAGTTTGAGGGCAATTAAGGGTGGGCAATTTCTGGTTACTAACTATATCCATAGATATGGGGATATTGTAGGAATATGGTGTTGAGGTAGATGATCAGCCATGATCTGGGTCTGGTGTGGGATGCTCTTTGAAAGGTCAGTGTGGACAAGATGGGCCGAATGGCCTGCTTCCGCACTGTAGGGATTCTGTGGATCTAGAACGGGGAACAGGCTTGAGGGGCTGAATAGCCTAATTCCTTCTCCTTTGCTTCTACAAGACCATGAAAGCTTTGAAGGCCATTAACTAAATAAAATTGGCTAAGGCTGCAGGATGCACAGGATGTTAACCTCCAAAAGACTCAACATATGAGATTTGGAGACAACACGAGATTATGTTTTGAAGCATTTTTCTCCTCATTAAGTGCAAAGGCAGAAAACCGCAATGAATGTTTCTGTATATGTCATGCCTGTTTTTAAAAAAAGTGCAGACGCCCCACACATTCCCAGACACTCAAGGACAGTTTGAGATCTCGGGTGTTAGTTATGAATCAAGGTTAAAAGTCTAACCCTCTCGCTCAGATGCTGCCAGTTCCACACTCTCAGCTCAACAGTGCAGGACCCCTGGCTAAGCGAGTTAGATCTAATTGCCTCCTCGCTACCCATCATCTGAGATGTCAGAAGAGGCCCTGGGTGACAGTAAATGCTGCTGCGATACCATAAAACATTTCCCTATAAACGGATTTCTGATTTCTATACACTCAGAGGTCGAAAGCTCCTTTTATTGTAGAATGCGTGCAAATCCCTGCACTTCAGAAATAATTATTCTATGAGGTGAGGCAAGAATAACACCACATCGTGTTTGATGTATATGAATCATTCGTCTTTGAGAATATGATACGTTCAATCTGGAGCAAAGTGGTAACGTGTGTGTCTGTCTGTGTGTCTCTGTGTGTGTGTCGGGGTTCAAATTTGGATCATGTCCTCACAACTACTCCCACCCCTTATGATAAACGCAAAGTACTGTGGACACTGGAAACTTGAAACAGCCAGAAGAGTCTGAAGAAGACTCAAAAATGTTAACTCTGTTTCTCTCTCTCCAGACCCACTGAGTTTCTCTCTCTCCAGACCCACTGAGTTTCTCCAGTGTGTTTGCTAGACCCCTCCCACGCCCCATTCTCCCACTTGTTCAAAACAAAACACGAAACATAAACAAAGCAGACAGTGCTGGAGAAATTCAGCAGCACCTGTGGAGAGAGAAACAGAGCGAACATTTCGAGTGTGGTCTGATTTCTCCAGCACCCACAGTGATTCATTTAAAAACACACGACTGCGTTCAGGATTACAGAGGGCAAAGTTAAACACGGGACTGTACATACAGCAATAACAGAGTGCTATTACCGTGCCTCATATCCCACAGGCAAAATATCATCTCATCAGCAAAACAGTGCAGCAATCAGTGACATCTCCATAGCAACGGCAGGGCTGGGTGAGAGAGAAAGCGAGATGTTTCCTTACTAGAATGTAAGAAAGAACTGTAACAAACAAAAATAAACAGAGAATGCTGGAGAAACCCAGCAGGTCTGGCAGCATCTGTGAAGAGAGAAAGCAGAGTTAATGTTTTGACTCCAGTTCTTGAAAAACGGTCACTGGACTCAAAAACATTAGCTCTGCTTTCTCTCTCTCTTTATATATGCTGCCCAAACTTGCTGAGATTTTCCAGCAATCGAATTCTGTTAAAAACCGAAAGAACTGCGGATGCAGCAAATCAGAAACAAATAGAGAGATTGCTGCAAAAGCTTCGCAGGTCTGGCAGCAATCTCTGGAGAGAAATCAGAGTTAACGTTTCAAATCCACTGGACCCAAAACCTTAATTCTGCCTTCCTCACCCACAGATACTGCCAGACCTGCTGAGTTTCTCCA